AACTGTCATGGGCAGCCGACTCAGTCACTAAACGAGCCACCGGCACCACGCGGCCGCTGCCCAGCCGCACGGACGCAGCCACGACGCAGGGCTTCCCTACGAGCGCGTCTTGCGGGTTGGACGGCTGCCCCTCTTGGATGCCACCCACCGTGCCTTGACCACTGTTGCGTGACTGCCCCCCGTGTCTTGCTCATAGCAAATTCGAGCTTGACTGACCAGATTGGACCCCCCATCCCACTGGGAGGGAAGTCTTTGAGCGACACAGCAGCACAAGCCACCCAAGGCAAAGTGCTCCACAATCTCAACTGGCCTTCATAGTTTGTGTAGGAAGTCTTGGGAGTGTCTCAAGTCCGTGGCAAATTGCTTGTCAAATGCATGCCGCTGCCAAGCTGCTTTTCAGTTTCGAGCAGCTCCACACGGTTTGGTTTCGAGCCGCTCCACACGGCGTCACCTTGCGCAGCTGGTGACGCTGGGGCGGTCTATGGGTCGTGCAGAAGCGGGGCCTATTGCAATCAAGCAGGCCGTATTTATGGTAACTTCACTCGCTAACTTAATGTTTAACATATGGCGGACAACGGCAACACTCAGTGCACGATCCAGAGTTTGAATTGCTTGTTGCAGCCGCGTATGAATGTAGCGTAAGCAGGCGTTGCAAAGCTGCAAGTACACAAGACCGGAGCCAGCGAGGGATTGGGCAGCGGCCGCAACACCGTACCTAGTCACGCGTGGCCGCCGCCCACGCGCCAGTGATGCTGCTCCGAGGTCTGCGCTCGCCAGGTGCACGCGGTGTACTACGCCATCAAAGACAGCTGCACCTGAGTGCAGCCATATCAGCAGCAGCCCTTGGTGGTGGCGGACGGAGCAACCGCGCCCGCGGCGGCGGCTTTCAGCGCACCAGCCGCGAGCCGCTGTGGCGCGACGAGCCCCGCCGCGGCGGCGCCGCGTCGCGCCGCGAGCGGTCCCCGCGCCGCGAGGTCCGGGAGGGGCGCGCGGCCCGCGAGCAGCCTGAGCAGCATGCATACAGCTACATGGTGACGTGCCACCCGGGCCTCGAGCCCGTGGTGGCGGGAGAGCTGGAGAACCCGCGCATCGGCGCGCGCGGCATCGAGCTGCGGGAGCCGGGCCGCGTGCGGTTCTGGTGAGCGCCCCGACACGCACACGCGCCCTGCAGCAGCCCCCGTGGCGCACGCCGCAGGCCCGCCGGCGGCGCCGCCGGAACGG